ATATTCATGCTCTTCTTGTAAAAGCTATCATGTTGGCCTTCTTTCTTGCCATACCAAACCACATCTTTCAATCATGAAAGAGATCAACAACTTGCTCAAATATCATTTTAAGTGTGGTTCCTCAAGACCAACTATGTTTGAGCATTTTGTATATAAAATCATATAAGGATCTTTGAGACAATATATCTTTCTTTATTTTACAATTTGGAGAACCTCAAGACAAACTTGTCATTCCAAAGTTTCTTCTTCCATAATTCGACTTCTGATAACTCTTTAAGAGTTTTGATTATGTCCAAACCAAAGATTCCATTGATCCATAATATTTTGATACATACACATAGGTATATTGATTATCAAATAATATCCACTGTAAGTGTATACCTCATGAAGCATTTTTGCTTTAATTAAATCCAATAGCTACTGTTCTCCAGAACATCATTTTGAAATCAATAATCCTTCTAATTGCTTCTGGCAATTTGATTTCCTTTTAGGACTAAATCAAGTTTTTCTCTCATTCTTAGACTGATAAAGGATCTGTAAAATAGTTGCATCCACCACAAGAAAATATATATTTTCATGTATCACTTTCATTCATCTTTCGTATAAAGATCCACTTATATCTCACAAGTTTTACACTTTCAAGTGTATGGACTAACTGGTCCAAATTTTTCTCTACAAGAGATTTAACTTTACCTATACAGTGTTTACCATGATTGGCCAATCATCACTTTACGCGTTTTTCAATATAACTTTTGTGCCGCGGTTTCAGATCCTCATTTCTCATCATCAACTGCTTTATTGCATGCAAAAATATTATCGACGTCGATTTGCTTTAGATTCCATTCATTCCAGACACGACTCAATTAGTTGAAATCTCTTATCATTACTAGGTACCTAGATTTCTTTCTTTCTCATGTCTATATCTCTTCTAGAGAATCCTTCCTCGATCTTGCCATTTTATAATATGCTCCTTTTTCTTTTCAAGGATTCTTATCTTTGGAATCAGTAGGTCTATCACGTTTCATGCGATCTTTAGCCTCTATAGCAGTTGATATTAATTGGAGCACAGCTGGTATCACTTGATCAGGGTCAGGTAATGCTTCTAGCATCAAATTTGCTTAACTTTGCAAATAAATTATCTTTTAAACTTTTTAGTGCACATTCTTTCTGAGGATCAAGATAATTTCTTTTACTGATTTTCCAGCTGTTTGTTTTCTCCCCCTTTCCTTAATTGTTGGAAAGACTGACTCACTGAAATTACAGTCTGTAATTCTAATCTTATCCCTTATTTGATGGCTTAATACATTTATTCATCAAGGAAGATTCATATCCAACATATATTCCTCTTTTGAGGTCCCATCTTAAATCAATGTGGTGGAGCAACATTATTCAAAACTTTTAGATGGGAAACATCTGGTTTCTGACCAAAACCAACTATGGGGAGAACTCAAAATTATTCGTTGGCATAATTTGAATCAATGTGGTTTCACTCTAAATCAATTAACCAAATACTTTCACAAAGATACATAGTGGGTGATCAATCCAAAATATCTCTTTGTGTATGTACCAGAAAATTAACATTTCCAAATTTATTGGAGAGTGAAAACCAAACACATAAGAATCTTCTGGATCTTTTTCGCATTGTTATTTAACTGGAATGGCTTAACCAGTTATGCCAAAACAGTGAGATTTTCAGTAAACTTCTTGTTTACTAGATCCATTTATATCTCATATACTAGTGTAGTACAATTCAATAGAGAATACAAGTAGTTTCTCTAAATTACTTTTACTGCCTTGGATAATACTCATGATGTGAAGATGTTAAACCTTTTCTTCACTCATTGTCTCAACTTAATAAATCTTAAAATCCTTTGGATTTTCTTTACATATGATTTATCGAACATGAGTGTGAACATGATCTTCTGGATGTTCCACTTTCTATGAATTGTGGGATTCTACAATTCTCCCCCTCGAGATGATTACACTTCAGTTCCATTCATCTCGAATCGAATCTCACTCTAGGATCAACAACATACCCAACTTGGGTTTTATATTATATCTTAGATCCTTTTGACATTTGAGACTTAGGAGAGTATAATCCATTAATGATTCCAAATCCTTTCATAGGCAATCATATCTGCTCTTCTGGAGCTTCTAATATTTTATACAATCTCATCTTGTACTCATACTAGTTTATTTTATCATCATATGATAGACATATCTCTTGTATGTTACCATCTTTATTCTCTCACTTCTAGTGAATATCAGAGTTCTTAAAAGAAACTCTTTGGCCTCAACCTTGACCTTGACCATATCCATATCCATATCCATATCCACATTTATGTCTGCAACCACTTCCATAGCCATATTTGGCCTATATCAATCATGTGGCATTTTCTTTCTCAATATAGGGTGTCACATTCACTTCAGGGAATGGACTATATCTCAAATCAGAAGTATATCCTGATTTTTCTCTTTCTAACTCATTATGTTGCTCAGCGTCTTTTAGACCCATATACAAGTTTATAACACTTCTCAAAGTGTAGAGTATTGTATCTCCAGGACAACATCTCATTCTCTAAATAGTAGAGTATGTCTTTTAACATCTCTGCATCAACGATATTATCTTCACATAATATCTGAACATAACCAAGCCAAACTCACTTGAAGACTTTAAATCACATTATTTTAGATTCAACCAATCATAATGAGTGTAATATCACATTTTGGTGATTCAAAATTTTGTGGATCTTTTTCGGTGAAGTACTCGATCTTAAGATCAACAAAGAGGCATTATCACATAAATATAATCACGAAAATTTGTTCAAATTTCAAAAAATATGATAATCAACCCAGATGCAATTATCCTATGCAAGGTTCATTTATAAAAACGTTAAATGTTCTATCACTTAAAGCATGCATCGATTTGAACAAATATCACAAAGCAAATGATTTTGACTAACACAATTTAATTGTACTCAATCAATAATGATATCCAACCAGCACAAAACTTATGTAATAAAATATTTTGACTGTCGTATTCTATCACCATAATTAATAACAATATTACGAACACTAATAAGAATTTATTCTGATTTAATATTACTCACATAAATGATTAATTATGGACTTATATGAAGATTAATAATAATTTAACATAATTTATATAAAAAAATTATATTATAAACTCTGGCAACATCTCTATGTGCTAAGTTATATTAATTGAAAAATCATAAATCAGGATATAATCACATATAATATTTCAATCATTCATCTATTATATTAAAACAGAAGCATATTTAGTACTTGCTTCCAAACACTCCCAAATTTTTTTTAAAAATATTTTGAGAACCAGTTTTAAAACTATCCTAAATTATTGTAATATTATTTAAAAACATTTTTTCTTTTTTATATAAAACAAATCCAAAAATTAGATATGAATTTAGATAACTAAAGATTTCATTGGTCATATTTAATTTAAAATTCAAACTATTTTTGTAATTAAATTTAATTCTAAAAAATAATATTAATTTAAATTATTTTATACTTCTTTAATTATAGGTCAGATTTAATTTAACATTTGAAAATTTAAATAATATTTTTAGAAAAACAAATATGATTAAGAGAATACCTTATTGTATTTTTTAATCATATTTAATCAGAATAAAATTTCACATATAAAAAACTAATAAATATTAATATTATATGATAATTTGATGGAGTAGATTAAGTTTTTTTTTATAATTGCAGTGTTATACTCAAAACATGCAAAATATTAAGATAAATATTATTTCAAAATTAGTAAATAATTATATTATATAGTAATATGACGGATGAGTTAGAAATAGAATTATGGTTTAGTAACTACAGTTTTTCGGATTAATAGAATCAGTGAGTTAAAAATATATTTTTATAATAACGGTTTTTTTCGATTAATAGAATGATCGGGTTAGAATTATGTTTTTATGATCATGGTCATAATATAGTAGAAAAAATTAAAAAATAAATTATATCTAAACACAAAATAAATATTTGTTATTTATTAATAAATTATATCTATAAAGAAAACATAAATAATATCATAATTTTTGATTAAAAATAATTCTCGTGCAGATGCACGGGGTAAAATCTAGTTAATTCATTAATATTTTACCTTTAAACTAGTTTTTCAATCAATCAATCAATTCATCAAATAATTTCATATCATATGAATGTGTAAATTTCGTGATAAAGCATGATATAATTTGTTTGTGCAAAATTCGTTATAGAAATCCTTATCAAATAAAACAGAAAAAATTTAACCGTACACAGATAAGGCATATATTTATATTATGCTGTTATAATCTCACCGTGCATAAATAGGGCATATATTATGCTTTTATAATCTCGCCGTGCATAAATCGTGTATAAAACGTGTATAGATAGGGCATATCTTATGCTTTTATAATCTCGCCGTGCATAAATCGTGTATAAAACTATCTATGATAAAATTCAGTTGTGCACAGATTGGGCATATATGATTTTCTTATAATCTCGCCGTGCAAAAACGGATCATAAATAGTGCAGATTATAAAATCGTGCAGATTTAAGGTAAACCCTAAGCATGGAGGAGGCATAGCCTTTCTTCTTCGGGGAAAGAAAAATTTATCATCCCAAAATAAAATTTTGAACTAACTCTCACCTTTTCGATTTGAGAGACAAAAAAAATCAAACTAACTCTCACTTTTTCGGTATGAGAATGGATCGAGAGACGATCGCGCTGATAATGTGTTGTAAACTAGTTGAGAGAAAAAGGAAATTGATGTGTTTTATTCTAAAGATAATGAAGAGTATATATAGTATTACAAAGATCTAGCTATCACCACAAGTTTTCGATGTGGAACAAATATAATATTAATAATAGACTTTATAATAGGCATTTATATATTAATATTCATAACAGGTAGATCCAAAATACCCAAAACAAAACAAAGATAGACAAACCCAACCCAAGCCCAAAAAGGCCGTACTGATATTGTTAGACAGCTGAATGCAATGTATCGTCTTGACGAGAAGTTGAAGTCGCAAGAGAGGAATCCCCAACTTTCACCGAATTAGGGTTTTCACGAGCACACAAAATGACGACCGGAAAATCTAAGCAAGGCGACACCAGATTAGTGGTTGCCGCCACGACGGCGTCGGCGTTGATGGAGACTAAGAAGGCTGATCACGGAGGATCTACGTCTATCGTGGAGTATAAACCGCCGGTGATGTTAGAAGACGAGGAAGATCTAGAGATAAAGCTCAGAAGAATCCTCGAGAACGTCCCGGTTCGCGTCAGCAACACCTCCGGAAGTTCCGCTGGTTCTGGTTCCGGCGATTTCCACCAGGTATTTGATTTGATTAACCTCCTCGCTTTAATCGGAGCTGTGACGGAATCGAAAATCGTAATAATAGAACATGAATTTTCGTCAGTGACTGGTGAGTTCAATTGGTTTATCTACACACTATACTTAGTCTTTTGTTCTTAGGCGTAGTTAGGTGTTGTTTCTAAGTTACTCCTCAATCAATTAAGAGAAGTTCTGTCTCTGACATATGATAAGGTCTGAATAGAACATGAATCTTCTTCGGTGACTGAAAAATTCAGCCGTTTTTTGGGTGATTCTGTGACTAAGGCTTAGTCTTATGTCCTTATGAACTGAAACTTTCTTATAGGAATTGTGTTTTGACATAGTTTTCTTAGTTTTGTGAAGGATCACAATGTCTTCAAGCCTAATTAAGAGTTTAATAGAGCTTGAACTTAGGAGTAATTCCTCTGTGGGAGGCTCATATGTGGGTAGTAATTTGTCAGTTCTGATTAGCTGTTTGAGAGGATGTGTTATTTTTCAACATCCTGAATTGAAAATTGCGAACAAGGCTTTTCATGAATCGTCTTCGTTGCTGAAAATTTTGGTCCTTAGGATCTGAATTTTCTTAGAAGACTTGTGTTTTCTGACATTGTTTTCTTAGTTTTGTGAAGGATCACAATGTTTAGATAGTGCTTGTACCAAGAGTAATTCCTCTGTGAGAGGCTCATGTGTGTAATTTGTCAGTTCTGATTAGCTGTTTGAGGGGATGTGACAGTTTTCAACTTCTGGAATCAAAAATTCCGAACAAGGCGTATCATTTTTGTTTTCTGCTGTTTGGCCTTGCAAGTTTTAGTTTTGGCGTTTGTTCTAGTTTTGGCGTTTGTTCTAGTTTTGGCGTTTGTTCTAGTTTTGGCATTAAATGGTCTCAAGCTGCACTTTCTGAAATGTAGTTATAGATAGAAAGGACTTGTATGTATACATCTTTTGCGTATTTACGAGACCCATCTAAACTTGTTCCGACAATGAATGCATTGCATCGCTTTTTGTTACAGTACCGGCAAATGAGGCGAAGAGAACAAGATCGACTCACAAGGATGGATATTGATTACAACAAGCGTTTACAAATGGCGGAGTTTACTATAAGAAGAGAAGAGAAACTGAAAGCTGCGGAGGAAAAAACATCGAAGAAGCGTTTGAAACGACAAAAGAAGAAGCAGAGAAAGCAGGAGAAGAAGAGTAAACCAAACACCGAGGGACAAGAAAAGCAACCTAGAGAAGAAATATCATCAGAGGACGACGGCGATGAAGAAGAGTCTCATGTAGAAGTTCGACCACGTCCGATATTTAATAAATTGAGGTTTCAAGAGAAGTGTCCATAGCATTTGTTATTGTATGTTACATGAATCACAAAACTCTCTTTGCAAGATGTGTTTCTTTCTTTTTCCTCTCGTTTTCAACATTAAGATGAATGTATAAGGAAAGAAATGGAGCAGATTTAACCGGTTCGTGTATGTACGCAGCAAAAGACGAAGTTATAGATATTTTCTAAGTTAACTAGCTAAGGTAACAAGATTATGATATTTTATTTAAGAAAATGACCGAGTGAAAAGTTGCTACTAGGAAATAATTAAAGGTATAAACTTGGAATGAAATTTAATGTGCGACTTTATTGAATATACCTAAAAAAATTGGTATAAACAGAAATTATTCAACGGAACCTGTCTCCAAAGTCTGATAATACACTTCTTAAGATTTCCCCCAAAGCAATGTAGCAATACAAGTCTTTGTCTATTAAACCTCGATGTCACTATTGTTCAGAATCAGTAATCCATCAAGCCTTCATCCATGAAGCATCAAAAGAATAAGTTTACACTTAATAAGAGACAAAAGCTGAAAATGTGCTTTGGTTGATTAGTACTGCATTGTACGCGGAGACTATATGCCATTATCACTTTACCAGTGTAACAGACTAGTAATATCGAGGATCAAATATTCTAATCTCTCTACAGATTTGGATATTTAGAAATATACACAAGACAATGATTACCCCTAATATAATGGAGCTTCTGTCTTCTTCCCTAGACCATATCCGTCGACTTGTATCAACAGCTTCATCACTTTGGTTGTTGTTGTTGTTTTCAGTTTCAGAGTAGCCCACTTCGCTGCTACTACAACTCTCAATTTCCTCACTCGAGATCCGTACACCGCATTCCATAACCTTACATTCCTTGTAATCTTTCAAATCACCCAATAATCTGCAGCTGAATTCAAACACAATCTCACCAATGGTCTCATCAACTTCAAGGGATACGTTTTCTTCATCAAATGGACCAGCACGAAATATAAACAGATGTTCCGACCGAGATGTAGGAGATGAAAGCGGAACAAAATGGTAACCAATGTTAATCTGGACACGTCCTTTGCTTCTCTCACATCTTATTGACTTTTTGTAGTAATCCTCGATTGTCGAAAGCAGAAAGCAAGCCTTAAACCTTGTGGACGCAGAGAAACCCTCTTCACCACCAAGAGAGAATGTCATTGTTATGGAGTTCCCTGTAGCTTTGTGCGTGAACTCTGCAGGGATTTCTTTACCTGGTAAGCATGCAAACCAGTCAACCTTTTGTTTAATGATTCCTATTCTTGCTTCTTCATCAAGTTTCAAACAGTTGTTGAATGTGAATACCCTGAATAGGTTGTTGAAATCGAAACTTACTCTCTTGAGTGATGCACAAATGTTTGCTTTTAGGGACTCAAGCGTAGGGGTCAGAGCCGGGATTGACATTATTTTTTGTGCAGTTTTCGAGGGTGAGATCCCGTAGCCAAGGGAGACTTATGACGGAATCTGGAATCCTCTTTATATCACTGTTGCTAAGGTCTAGCAAAGTTACACTTTCCGGGACATGAGTTAATGTCTTGAGGTTTCTGCTACCAATCTCAGGCCACCAACAACGAGACCAACGTCCAACAATTGACGTCTTCGATCTTCGTGTAACTAACATTGAGAGTCTCAAGGTTGGTCGAGATATCTGGAAAATTTCTCAACCGCGAACAAAACTTCATGTCAACTTTCCCAAGAGATGCTAAGTTAATGTTGGTGGGAATAACTTGAAGATTGGAACACCAGGATGCATCCAGGTTTCTCAGCTTGTGCAGATTCGAAACAGAGGACGGAACCTCCACCAAACTTGTGCAAGACGTGATTGTCAATGTCTCAAGAATAGTAGCTTTCGAAAGATTTGGGATTTCCTTCAAATTACTCGAATATCCCAAATCTATCTTCTTGAGATTCACAAGAGGCTGCGTGTCAAATACAACAAATGATCACTATCATATACTCAGGTTATATCATCAGAAACATATTCACAAATATCAAATACCAACCTGGATTCCTCCCCACAGGCTCTCTAGCTTGCTCTTTGGCATATAGAGCTCAACGAGACGTTCTGGCTGGAATGTTGGAGGAAGACTTTTTCTCGGGTATGAATCCCAATGTAGTAACCTTAGATAAGGTAGATAGTCCATGTCCTCTAACAAGCTAACATTTCCATTGCAAAGTTTCAATTACGCATTCCTTAAAGGCTCGCTTACTTATAGAGAACTCGCCGATCTTGGACATATCAAATGATGCAAACACAAGTTCGAATCATAGTCATCAACACCCAATATGTTCCCCATGAAACATCTAAGTCCAAAATCAGTAGAATGTTGATTTTACAAAGCTCTAGCAATGGTAGTCTTACCGATCCCTGCAGGACCCCAAATTCCTATCATCTTCACTTCATCACAATCTGACCCTTATCTTCTCTGCACTTCAAAATTTCGACCAATTCATCTAAACACCAGCTCGAACAGGCGTACTTCTTGGAGAGCACCACGATCGAGACAAAGTTCCCTCTTTATATATTGAAGGATAAGATATATATGGAGGAAGAAACAAAGTTCCTTCTTTATATATTGAAGCAAAACGCGTAAAGGCCAGAGGCATTTCAAACACATTTGACTGTGCAGAAAAATACAAAGATGTGTCCCCAAAGTTCTCGAGGACCCTGTAAGAGCGTAATCGTCGAGGTCCACTGGGTTTTTGTTTGGTGACTTTGAAATTGAATTTGACTTTGGAAGAATTGCCATTTTTTCAGAGACGATTCACTTGCTCAGAGGTGAAGCAAACTTACATTGTCCCAATCAAAGAAGATTGGAGACAATTTGGAGGAAGAAGATGAACCAGTGAAAATAAAATAAAAAATTACGTTTTAAAATGTCGATTAGATCCCAATTGTACACTTGGTTTGAACACTAAACCGAGTCTCTATTTCAATTAAATTGTACACTTGGTTTAAAAAAATAAAAAGTGGCTTTTACGTACATCAAAAGGATGTGCGAAGAAGATGAAGCAACACAGTTTTGAAAGAAAAAAAAAAAAAAAACTCTTTCTCAGTTTCTGGGATTTGTGAAATCGCTGCAATTCTCCTTCTCCAATGGAACAATCTCATCTTCATCAATCTATCGTGGGTGGCTCAGGTCTTCTTCTCGCTCTCGCTCTCTCTTTCCTCTCTGTTTTCCGCTGCACTCATCATACAAATCCAACATTCGACCACTGTTTCATTGTCGATCTCCCCTGAATAGCACCGATCAATTCTCTCAACCTCTCTCTCATGGATTTGCCTCTTTCTCCTGATCGAAAACTTCTGTTTCAATCATTTTTTTCGCAGTCGCGGATTTGATTTTGTGGAAGAACAGACGCGGAGGATTTCTTCTTCTCGGATCAGCGACATTGTTTTGGATCCTCTTCGAGAAATGTGGATATATTTTCTTCCCCTTTGTCACTAATATTCAGCTACTTCTCGTCGTTGTACTCTTCCTCTGGGCCAAATCTGCTATTCTTTTCAATCGGTTATATTCTCTATCTTCATCTTGATTTTCAGCTTGTTTCTGGAATGTAGACTGCAGAATTTGTCACATTTGGCATTGTGATGGATAGAGAAAACCTTGTAGTACATCTGATAAATCTTTTTCTTGACTATATAGACCTATGCCACAGCTTCCTAATCTTGAAATCACTGAGGCATCTGTTCTTATGGTGGCTGATGCTCTACGAGTCTGGATTAATAATGTACTCTCAGTTGCTCGTGACATTTACGTGGAGAGAAATTCGAAGCAACTCTTTCGGGTCAGTGAATAGATTTTAGAGATTGTTGGCAAGTAGATTTGCACTTAGATATGAGATATTGAAACATTGCTTTTGCTATGGCAGGTCAGTGTTGTGTTGTGGACAGTATCATTTGTTGGCAGTTTCTTAAACTTCCTCACAATACTCTATCTTGGTGGGTAATATAGTTCTTGTTTTTTTCGTTTCCCTTTATATTGTTCATAACTCGTCGTATTGACTTTTCTCTGCGTGATTTTAAATGGACAGGTGTTGTTCTAAGTATGTTGATACCCATTCTGTACGAGAGATACCAGCATCACATTGATGATAAGCTTTCTGTGACATATCGAATTATACAAACACAGTACAGGAAGATCGACGAAAGATTACTACAGAAGATTATCGCTAAGCCCACGAATAAGATAAAGAAGATGCAATAGGTAAAGCATACTGAACCTTTGATAATGTGTTGTTGTGACTATTGTAACTAGCCGAGATGTGGTTCAGGAAATTGTAGCTTTTCCAGATTTACTACAGAGCTTATGTAGGTTGTTTCGACTGAAGGTTTAAAGGAGAGTGAGGAGAATAGGCATTCTGGATTTGTCTAGGGTTTTAGGATGGGGAATAAGTCAAGAGTTCCAAGACTTCTATAGTTAATCAAGTTTCTTTATGGTGAAGCCAATTATAGGAGTCCACCGGTTCCAATCTTATAGTGTAACACATTCAACTATTTGCTTAGATATTTAAGTACATTAGATAGATATCAATGGTACATTGGTACTGCATTGTTGCATGATCTGTGTTGTTTGTTTGAACATATCACACCTAACTAAGTGACCACCTCTCAACACTAACTAATCTTTCGGCACTCTTTTTTGTTGAATGCAGTTAAAGAAACAGGACAGAATAGGACTGAGTTGAAGAGGTCAAAGAGAGTAACGTAAAAAATCTATGAGCGTAGATGAGTGGAGGAATTGAGAACTAAGAACGTTATTTCACAAGCTGTAATTTGGTTTTGCCACTCAGAATCAAAACTTCATACAAAACTTCATTTGATATAGGACGAACAGTCTGCATTCACAAGTCCATTGTCTGTGTGCAACGATAGGTAACTCTAATTGGAATACGGTGCTGTTTCTGGCAAGCAAATCAATCTTGTGAGCACTTTATCATTTTGTAGTAAGATATTTTAACAAACCCATCAAAGCAAAATCACTGGTGAAAAAAAAACAAAATTGAAGTCAAAACAGCCTTAGAAGGCAAATAAGACCAGACAAAGATAACAAGGAAACTCCGACAAAGTTTAAACAGATGCATCTAGCAGTACCAAAGTTTGTTCTTCATGCATGAGTTAGAAGAACTATTAAGAAACCTCGATCTTGCTGTTAGTCGAAGCTCTGGGAAACAATAGCAGATCCATGGTGAATTGCAACTTTTCCTCGTCATCTCTTGAATGTGTTATCTTCTTATGCTGCTACATCATTTTTTCATAGTCGAAATTTGTGGCACGTCGTCAATTCATCTTAAAAATTTATAATACAAATTCACTGGAGCTCATTTAAGATCCATTTGCAATGTCTAATATATTTGTCATATCTAAGCTAGGAATTAGACCACGAGCTGGATATTAGTATGTGAAAATGGTTGGAAAGATAACTGGGTTTAGGATGCAGCTACTCGAGTAAGGATTCTTCGAAGGGGATGTGGAATATTGCTGATGTCCCTATGAATCCAGCATCAGAAGATGAAGAAAAGCCAAAGAAAACACAGGACTCAATCGTCCTTGTTGGATCGTCTACTGAAATAGAGGTGACCTCTGACAATGTTTTACATTCATACTTTTTTTAAAGTCTGACAATGTTATATCTACAAGTTTTCGCTTCACTCTTCTTGGTGGTACGTTCCACCTCCGGTCTGGACCGGTTAAAGACTGAGACCGGCCCAATTGACCCCGGTTTACGATGGTCTTAGTCGAAATGGGCCTGGCCTGACAGCGCGGCCCATTAGAGAGAAGCCCAGCGACGA